GGGGTTTGGAAGAGGCATTTTTACAAACAGTTACCAGTCGTAATCTTCAGGCTTCGCAAATGGGTACTTCAAGTATGCATTTTTGACCTGAGATGGGTCTTCCGGCGTCGCCCATGGATACTTCAGCGATGGATCTCGTGGAAGCTTTCTGAAGTTCAGAAATGGCGCCCACACTAGAATTCTGCAACCAAGAAGCGAATCACTTTTACCATACTTCTCCATCAAAACCATAATGTTTGAGGACAGCATAAAAGAATCTAGAGTGCTTTGTCAGAAAGCATTTGTAGAGAACTTTTAGCTCAAACTACTTAATCAAGAAACACTATTAAGAGATAAACCAAATATAGATGAAAGTTATTTGTTGTAATTAAGCTGTTTTTATTACAGTGCTGTTGGAAATACTCATAAAAATACCTTTAATTGCCTTTCTACCATCAAAATAAAATAGAACTTACCCAGGGAAGAAAAGGAAGACACACATGAATTGCAGATACATCTCCAACAAGTTCCTTCTATACCATCTTATCCTCAGCCAGTTCATGATGATTGGCTGCCAAAAACTCACCAATTTTGGAAATTCAATTTATCAAAAACAAAATTTCAAAAAAACCAAAAAAAATCCCAAAATTAGGAATTCTTACCGGAAAGACAAGGAAGTAAAAGAATCCAACAATGCCCAATTGTGTCAAAATCCATGACAGTGGAACCTCATGGTTGTTGTCTCCTGTTACAGCATTTGCTGGCTCCCCAATCTGTTTCAAAAAAGAAATTAATAAAATAAAATCTTTTTTTTTTAATCTTTTCATCACGTTAAATTTCAAATTTGAATTAAAAAAGACTCCAAAATCCAAACTTGATTTGCTCACAGTGGCTAAAAGGGCTGCAACTTGAAAAGCCAAACTGGGTTTCTTCTGGTGAACATTGGCAATGGGATCTTCACTGATGCTTGCCACTGCCTGAAACTACACCCAAAAATTAAGTTCAGAGAGAGGAAAAAAAAGGAAGAAGAGAGAGAAAGAAGGGAGAGGAGAGAGAGAGAGGACATTTTTATTGTTGGGGGTAGAATTAGACGGCAATTTCTGCAGTTTGGAAATGGAAGAGAGAGAAGGAAAGAGGGATTGAGAAGAGGAGAGAGAAGGCAAGGCCCTGGGGATGTGGAGGCCAAGGCCAAGGCAGCACCTCATATTCATAACTCTGAAATCACACCCTCTTCTCAATCTTTTCAAAGTCTTATCTTTCTCTATGGCTCCACGAGGACACAAGGGAAAATTAGTAGACTTCAAGGTCATATCTGCAAATACTTCAAAGTTCCCACTTGCCATTTATGCTAGAGAAACAACTCACGCGAGCCGAGTCAAAGAAGTAAAGGCCTGAATTTGATCCATATCAAAATCACATGCGCCTCGAATACGATTTACAGTTACTAGAATCTAAGCCCATAACTTAAATTTTTAATTATTTTGTATGTTTTGAAACCAAATTTTTACGTTTTGATTTTATCTTTTGTAGACTATTTTGTTATTTTGTGTGGTGTAAAAATCACGTGGTTCTCAAATTTGTGGGGAATGGATAAAGGAGAAATAAAACACACACACGACACAATTCTCAATTTTGGAATTGAGATGGCCCATTCTAATACTCTAGCCCATTAACATGATGGAGATTGGTTCTTAGTGGGCCGGATCTTTCTTGCTTGGTTCAACTCGGCCCATGAAAAATTCAAACCCAAACAAAATGGATGTCCCTCCATTGCGTTGGTTCTACAGTGGTGACGACACCCATGGTGCGGCAATCTCGTGAACTTGATAGTCAATGGCCTCATGCTTGACCTACAGCACGCGGCACGTGACACTCTGACAATGGCAACCTCGACGATGATCTCCATGGTAATACAACGTATAGAGGTGTGGCTCTGATTTCCCTTATTTATAAGGGTAAAAATAAGCTAAATTGGTATTGTTTTCTAACGTTTTACATTCAGAAACCGTATTTTAAGCTTATTATAGTGTCTAAAACCTTTCATTTGGAGTTATCTTAGGTTATACATGCATAAAAGACGTTTTTACGTCATTTAGAGTTGATTTCTAACGGAAATTACAATTTTGTGCAGAAAAATACAGAGCTAGGCAACTGGTGCCTTCCCCAATCCGGAGAATGCCCTTAATGTAAAATGTGTTTTGAAGCTCGGCGTCCGATTCTCAAGCTGGGCTCTTCCCGGTTCTCTCGCCGTTACTAGGGAAATCCTTGTAAGTTTCTTTTCCTCTGCTTATTGATATGCTTAAACTCAGCGGGTAGTCCCGCCTGACCTGGGGTCGCGTCGAGAGCATCGCCTCCATTTCGGGACGACGTTCGAAGGGTCGGTCTGAGTGGCCTCGTCGGCTCTTCCCTCGCGAGCGA